CMCCCCCCCCCAAAAAAAAAAGAAATACCAGCTTTTGGTTTCATTATTTTTTCTCTACTGATCCCTTTTGCTTTTCATTTCACTGATTTCTATTCTGGTCTTTATTGTTTCCTTTCCTCTATTTACTTGGTGTTTCACTTGCTATTTCTAGTTTGCTTAAGATGGAATGTAAGGCTACCAACTGGAACTTGCCTCTTTTAGAATACCTGTGTTTAATGCTATACATTTCCCCCAAAATATTGCACAATGGCAATATGCCTCAAACTTTGATATGTTGTTTGATTTATTTTTATTTAGCTTAAAATACTTGCTAGTTTTCCTTTTGGTTTCTTCTTTCCACATGGGTTATTTACGTGTGTCATTCAGTTTCCAAATATTTGCAGATTTTCTAGAGATGTTCTGCTATTGACTTCTAGTTTAATTATGGTCAAAGAACAAACTTTGTATAACTTGAATCCTTTCAAGTGTATTAAGGCTTGTCCTATGGTCCAGAATATGGCCTGGTGGTAAGTATTCTGTGTATCTGAAAAGAATGTGTGTTCTACTGTTCCTGGATGGAATATTGTGTAAATGTCATTTATGTCMGTTTTATTATGTTTATTCTATAGATTTACTGGTTTTCTGTCTACTTTTTCTATAGTTTAAGAAGGGGATGTTGAATCTCTGATTATAATGATAGATTTGTCTGTTTATCATGTGGTTCTTTCATTTTTTGCTTCATTTATTTTGAAGTTCCATTGTTATGTATGTAAACATTTAGGATTGTTATGTTTTCCTGATGAATCAATCCATTTGTCAGTATGAAATTAAATTATTTGTGATAACACTGTATGTTCTAAAATTTACTTTAAAACCAWACATCTTCTTTTAAATTAGTGTGAGTATATCTTCTCTATCATTTTATTTTTAACCTAATTTGTGTCTTTATCTTTAAACATTTCTTGTAGGCAGCATATAGTTGGATCCTATTTTTTTAATCCAATTTCATAAACCCTTAATTTAATTTGGGTGTTTAAACTATTTGCATTTAATGTGATTAATGATATTACTAGGTTTGAGCTCAATATGTTGCTATTTGTTCTGTGTTCCTTTTTTCCTGTTTTTCTTTTCTCTTTTTGCCTTTTTTGGGTTTTGTATTTTTTATGATCTTATTTCATCTTCTTTATTGGCTTATGAACTATGATTCTCTGATTTGCTAGTTTAGTGTTTGCTTTAGGGTTTATGGTATCTGTCTTTAGTTTATCACACAGCCCACTTTCAGGTGATATTATATCACTTTGCATGTAATGATAACTTGTAAACTATATACTTCCATTTATCCTCGTTAGCCTGGTGTTATCATACATTTAATTTTTACATGTTATATCTCACATTACATTATTACTATTATTTTTTATTTTAATTTTTGAGACAGAGTCTTGCAAGTTGCTGAGGCTGGCCTCAAACTTGTGATCCTTCTGTCACAGCCTCCCAAGTAGTTAGGATTACAGGTGTGCACCACCATGTCTGGCCACATTATTATTTTTGCTTACATAATTATCTCTTTTTAAATTTTTTGTATTTGTATATGGACACAATACCTTTATTTTATTTATTCATTTTTATATGGTGCTGAGGATTGAACCCAATAGTCATATGTGGTAAGTAAGTGGTCTACCACTAAGCTATGACCCCAGCCCCCATAATTATCTCTTAAAGAGATTTAAATGATAAGAACAAAAGTTGTAGTGTTTGCTCATGTTCTTATCATTTRCAGTGCTCATCATTCTTTTGTGCAGCTTGATATTTCCTTTAGAGATCTTTCTGCCACACGACCAGCACGCTAGCTTCATACTAGAGGTTCCAAACATAGAAGTTAACTAGTGAGATCAAAATAAAGACACATTTTACCTTTTTCTTGCCCAGCTAAGAGACGGCTTCTCCTGACTCCTGCTTCGAGCCACCTGGCAGTAGCAAGGTTTACACAAGAAACCAGCAGGAGAGAGAGAGGCAAGCCAGAGAGTGAACTTTTATTGGGGAACAAAAAATTCAGGGGAAAATTCCATCCAATGAAAGTCGAGGGGGACAGCATTCCAAGGTCAGGGTCAGTGATTGGTTTCCAGGTCAATGGTCAGGCACACTCCCACACGGACAGGCCCTCACACCTGGAAAGGGTGGGGAAAGCTCTGACTCAGCTGGTCTGAGTGCCTCACACCCAGTCAGGGAGGTACCCAATCACAYCATAGATCTTTTTCCATCTGCCTGAGATTTCCCTTAACACTTCTAATGGTATGGTCTGTAGGTCAATTCTCTCAGGTTTTCTATATCTGAAAAAAATAGTGAGCCTTATCTCTTCTTTTGGAGGATGGGAGGGCTAGGGACTGAATTCAGGGTCTCAGGAATGCTAAGCATGTGCTCTACCTCTAAATCTGGTGCTGGAGATAAAACCTAGGCAAATGCTCTTCCACTAAACTACCCCACCAGCCCGGCCCTTCACTATTTTTTGTGGGGTACCGGGGATTGAACTAAGGGACACTCAATCACTGAGCCACATCCCCAGTCCTGTTTTGTATTTTATTTAGAGACAGGGTCTTAGTTGCTTAGCACTTCACTGTTGCTGAGGCTGGCTTTGAGATCCTCCTGCCTCWGCCTCCYGAGCCACTGGGATTACAGGTGTGCACTACCATGTCTGGCCCCACCTTCATTTTTGCAAGGTATTTTTAAGAGATATAGAATCCAAACTTGACATTACTTTTCTTTCAGTAGTTTAAATATATTGTTTTACTGTCTTCTCGCTGTGTGTTTTCCAATGAGGAATCCATTATGTTTTTTATCTTTGTTCCCTAATATAAAAGATGTGTTTTTTTACTTTGGATTTGAAATTTTTCACTGGTTTTGAGCAACTTGATTTTGTTTTTTACTATAATTGTCTTCATGTTTCTTGTGCTCGGGATTTGTTGAGCTTCTTGAATCTGTGGGTTTGTAGTTTTCATCAGACTTTGGAAAAAAAACCTTAATTTTTTCAAATAGTTTTTCTGTATTTGACTTCTCTCTTCTTTATTGGGGACTTCAATTATATATTTGTTAGATTGCTTGAAATTTTCCCCTATAGCTTACTAATGCTATATTTATTTTTAAAATATTCTGTGTGTTTTGTTTGGGATAGTTTCCATTTCTGTGTCTGTTCATTAAATATTTCTTCTGCAATGTCTAATTTGCCATCAAACCTATTTAGTTTATTTTTTATAATTTTTGACATTACAGTTTTCATCCTTAGAGTTGATTTGAATCTGTTTTATATCTTACATGCCTTTAACTTTTGAACACAAAGGATACAGTTGAATAATTGTTTACTGCTTTTATAGCCTAAATKTAACCCTTGAGTTATTTCTGGGTAAGTTTTATTTGGTTGACTTTTTTCTTGTGTCTCATCATTTCTGCTCTTCACATGTCTGATCATTTTTGACTGGAGGCTATACATTTTATCTTGTTGGATGACAGATATATTTGTATTCCCATACATATTCTTTAGATATGTTCTGAAACTCAGTTAAGTTACTTGAAGGTAGTTTGATCTTTCCTGGTAGGATTTGTTATGTGAAATTGTGTTTCAAGTCAGGTTAAGTGCTAATTATTCTCACTCTGGTCAGGATCCTTTTGTGTACTCTAACCAATGTTCCATGAATTATGAAGTTTTTGTTTAGAAGTTATCTAGCCTGGTGCTTGCTGTATGAGCAACAGGTGGTGTTCCCACATGCTTTTTGGTGGTTCTTTCCTTGGCTTTGGTCATTTCCTTATGTGCTTCTTTCTTTGTGTGCAGCTCTCTTTTCTCTAGTACCCTGTCTTATGAACTCAAGTTGCCTTGTTCTATCTGTACCCTAAATTCCATCTTAACAACTTCTGGCTTGGTGGGATCAGCCTGGGTTCTCTCTTCATGAACTGCAGGCTGTAATCTTGCTTAAGGTAATAAGTACCTCAGCAATCAAATACCTCACCTAAATTATTTCCTGTCTCTGAAGGTTCACTGGTCTTTGTTGTCTGAGGCCCAACTTGTTTGTTTTTGGTACTGGGGTTGGATCCAGGGATGCTCTACTATTGAGTTTCATCTCCAGTACTTTTTATTTTTTATTTTGAGACAGGATCTTGCTAAATTGCCTAAGCTGGCCTTGAACTTGTGATCCTTCTATCTCAGTCTTCTGAGTTGCTGGGATCATAGGTGTGCACCACTTTGTCTAGCTCAAAACATTGTATTAGAGTTTGCATGAGTTGGTTTGTAAAGCATTGTTCGGTCCAGGGATCAAGGATTGGGTTAGGAATAAATTCATCTTGCTTGGGGGAATCTGATTAAATGGTATGTTAATAAGGATTCTGAGACTACATCTTGATTCCATAAGAAACATAGCCTTCAGGGCTGGGATTGTGGCTCAGCTGCAGAGTGCCTGCCTAGCATGTTCGAGGCCCTGGGTTTGATCCTCAGCACCACATAAAAATAAATAAATTAAATAAAGATATTGTGTCCAACTAAAAAATAAATATTAAAAAAAGATACATAACCTTCAGATAATATTGGAATGTTAGGTATTTTGACAGTTTGATTAAATATTTGGARTATTTTGAAATAATAGTTCACAAGTTTATAATACATTTCAGGTAGTGTTCTAAGTACTATATACGTATGTCCCCAATAACTCATTGAAGCTAATTCTATTAATATCCTTATTCCGTAGGTAGAAAAACAGCATAGAGGGGTTAAATAACTTCTTCATATCACACATTTGCTAAATTTAGCTCCAGAAATGCGCTTGTTTCTGTAATACTACTTTTCTAATAAACACTTAATGTTTCAGAAAAATTAAAGATAAACTATGTATCTCTACTTATATAGTATACAAGTGATAAAATGAATTTGTTGCTTGTTAATGTGAAAATGGCCCAAACTGACCAAACTTTTACCTTAGATTGGAAAGATTTGTATCTCATGTTTCTCATCATGTCTGATCCTTTGTGTTTTATTTCTTTAGGTTCCCTTGCCAGTTCCATTTTTGATCCACTCAGGTTTCTTGTGGGTGCTTCAGGAGGAGTCTATGCCCTGATGGGAGGTTATTTTATGAATGTTCTAGTGGTAAGAACTTTGGGAACAGAATCTATGGAGGATATGATGATGATGATGATGATGATGATGACGATGATGATGATGATTTTTGCAGTGCTGTGAATTGATCCCAGGGCCTTGGGCATGCTAGGCAGGTGGTCTACCATTGAGCTATATCCCTTGCTTCTGCTTTTTTCCAAAACAATAACTGTTACTTGGTTCAGAGAATCTTCATTTAACAATATTTAGGGAATACTCATCTTTTTGAGAATCATATGGCCCTCAGAGTTTATCCTTCATATTTTATATTTTCTTGTTATCTCAAAAGTAATGTGGATTAGCCAGGCAAGGTGGCACATACCTGCAATTCCAGTGATTCAAGAGGCTGAGGCAGGAGGGTCGCAAATTTGAGGCCAGTTTAAGCAATTTAGTTGAGGCCCTATCTCAAAATATAAAATAAAAAGAGTTGGGATGTAGTTCAGTGGAAGAACACCTCTGGGTTCTATCCTTAGTAGCAAGGGGAGGGGGAAGGGCAAAGTAATGTGAATAAATAAAATTTTAAGTTTAAAAAAAGAAAGTCAAGGTTCCCAGTATAATGTCTTTTTAATAGTCTGACATGCATGTATAAACATTTTTCTATATGTATTTAAACTCCACCAATATTATACAGAAATGGCTCCCCTTGTACTGTTCTGYATCTTCATGGGGCATCCTGGCCATCCACCCATGTTAGTACACAGAGAGCTCCCTCTGCCTTTGCAGGGCTTTAGAGCATCCTTTGTATATTTGTATCATGATTTTTTTTTTTAAAAAACAGAATCTCATTGAAAAAAAAGTGGGGTTGGGGCTGGGGTTGGGGCTCAGCCGTAGAGCTCTCATCTAGCATGTGCAAGGCCCTGGGTTCAATCCTCAGCACCACATAAAAATAAATAAATGAAACAAGGTATTGTGTCCAACTACAATTAAAAAAATAAATATTAAAAAAATGTGGGGCCATTTTGCTTTTCACATTATAAATAATGCTGTAGGGAATGTTCCTTTACATTTATGTTTTGCATTTGTGATTTTTTTTCTTTTTGATAGGATAAAATCCTAGAAGTGAACTTACTAGGTGAAATTTTAACATTTCAATATGCAAATTCCAAATTGCCCTCTAAAACTGGCATATAATTTTACATTCCCATGATAGTATGTGAGTGCCAACCATTTCTTAACACAGGAAAAAAAATCCTGACTTGGCTTCAACCTTTTACCCATTTAGGTGTACTATAAAAACACTCTAGGAGGACAAATACCAAACAATTCTAAAACTGTTCCAGAGGTAGAAGTTACTTCTTAGAAAAATATTTTTCAACTTTGGATTACAACCCATTAGTGGTTGTGAACTCAGTTGAAGGTCCTGGGCTCCAAAATCAAACAAACAAAAATTTCAGTGTGTGTCACATGGACTAGGAGAAGGCACTCTTTGATTTATGTGTGCAGTGGGTTGTTACATTATTTCTTACTGTAGGTCATGTTCACAGCAGCTTGAAAATAGAATTAACACCCCTGGTGCAGCATCTTCACTTCATAGGAAGGGAGTTAATAACTTAAAGGGGAGGGAGAAGCAACTTGGTAAATTAAAGTGGAGTATGTGACTCAGCAGTTCTCTAAGTGACACCAGGGCTATCACAGGCAGGCACATTTTTTCAAAGTTAAAATAGAGCAATGTATTTCAATCAACATTTTCCTTTCTTTTGAAATTACTTAAAAAAAAATTGAAGTGATACTCAAATTTTAGTTAAGTCTTTGTTAGCTACTTGGGAAATGAGAGTGAAGAAGTGGCAAATAAGTATTTCCAAAAAAAGCTTGGAACTATTGCATCAGTCTTAGTTTAATGGCATTTATTTATCTAACTATCCACCCATATATTCATTTATTGACATATTCAGTGCAGACTTTTTATTACCTATATTTAGATAATTTCCAGCTAATAAAATTTCCCCCTTCCCCCTCAGTTCTGAGGATTGAACCATGCTAGGCAAATGCTAGGCAAATGCTCTACCACTTAGCTGTACCCGCAACCCCCTAAATTGAGTCATAAATCATAGAATTAAATGCCATGCTTCATTTTATTGTCCAAAGTGCACTAGCATTGTATTTCTTAAAAACTTTTTTAAAGCTTGGCTGTTACAACAATGCTTTGTTTGGCAAATATCTGATGCTTAAACATAGGTTTAAATCACAGAGCTGGTGAAGAGGGGGTAGAGCTGAAGTTTCCTTTGCCAACAGATTGCTTACATTATTGTGACTTATCTCTTTGCAAGAATTTTCGAGAAATGATTCCTGTCTTAGGAATTTTCAGACTACTGGTCATCATCCTTATAGGTAAGTGAGTTCGGGGAATATTTTACACCTTTGGTTTAATTGGATCCACCTTCAAAAGGCCTTTTCACATTTCCCAAACACTGCCTAGGGTCAGAAAGAATTGTTGGCTTCATAGGATTAGGCATGAAGGGAGGAATTTCACAGGAACCACCTCAGGGCGGTTCTTAGAGGGGCCTGGTGAAGTGTTTGGGCTTGCTGTTTCTTTCTAGAGTGGGGAAAGCCAACAAAGCAGAGCTCTAGGTGCCCCCTCTACTTCAACCATAATGTTTTATAAACTGGACTTTCTCTTTCAAATGTTGGAGACTGTATGTGACTTTTGTCTGCAAAGGAAAAGCCTGGAAACCACTGAGATAATCTGCTGCCTTCTCAAGTTTTACATTTTCAGATTAAAAAAAAAATGATCTAGGATATAAACTCTGAGTGGCAGCTGAGGACTGAGGACAAGAGTGGAGGTCAAGGAACCSAGAAGCTCAAGAGCTAAGAGAGTGACTAAGGTGGCTTTTGAAATCTCTATGAATTCTAGAATTACACGCTAGAGGAGTTTTGGTATGGAAGAACACGCCATCTGGGGGGGGGGGCTGGATTTTTTTTCTTTTTGGTGTTGGGGATGGAACCCAGGACCTGGTGTTTGACAGGGAAGTGCTTCACCACTGAGCCACATCCCCTGTCCTGAGAGGCTGGGATTTTAACTGAGTCTGAAAGTAAGGATAGATCTGGGTATTAGCAGGACATACAAGGTAGAAGAAAACAAGGGCAGAGGCACGGGTGGTAAGTTTTCAGGGACCTGCTTCCGGTGGAGCTATACTTATTGGGGGAATTGGGGGAGGAGGACAGACCCTGGGGTCAGACTTGAAAGCCAAGGCAGAGGTCACACTTGGTAAAATCTCGGGTTTTTGGTATCAAGGTTTCCATATTCCACATACAGGAACAGGGGCAACTGCCTCTGTGGAAAGATCCTAAATTTAGTTTATGAACCACTTAACTATAAAAATATCAACATTTCATTCTGAGATAAGAGTTCACTTGTTTATAGCTTATTCCATACTGTAGATAATTTCTTTTCATAAGAAATAAAAAAGTTAAGGAAAAATTGTTGGAAGAGAAGGGAAAAGCAAATATCTGGCCCCTATGGGAGCTCCTCAGTTGTTAAGAGTCATCATCAGAACCCATGAACCAGTCATTTGGGCAAACAAATGTTGTCATACAAGTGACCTGGGTCTTTAGTCAATCTGCATGAAGTCTTTGTAGAATAAGCCTCACATCCTTAGTGGGGAAAGGATTTTCATGCTTTTCAAAGTTGAAGTGAAAACCCTTGCTTCATGTGCAGTGTATCTCCAAAGGTGGTTTCTGTGATGTTCTGTCATTCTCAAGGTGCATACTAAAATCACCACATGACCTGCGTTGCTTTGTAGGATCTGCTATTGTCAACCTTCCCTGATCCTGACATATCATTTCTAAAAGTTTTTTGGCTTGAAAATGAGAATTAAAACACATACCAGATTYGTAAAATTACAAATTAAGGAATATAAATATATTTTAATTTGAAACATATTTCTTGAAAACATGTACATTGTTTGGTTTTCTTTTAATTGGTAAACATTACCCTTAATTGTGAAGGATAATTAGATTAAGGACCACATTCATGGGATATGTTATTTAACTAAGAAACTGAGCTTACCTTGGGTAAAAGTTCAGAAAATCTCACATTTTCATCCTTAAAAAAAAAAAATCYACATAAAGCCAACTCCTTTAAAATGAGTGTCAATAACTAGGTGTAGGAATACATTTCTGCAATCCCAGTGACTTGGGAGGCTGAGGCAGGAGGATCACAAAGTTTGAGTCCAACCTTAGCAACTGTGCAAGAGCCTGTGTCAAAATAAAAAATAAAGGGCTACAGATGTAGCTCAGTGATAAATACCCCTGGGTTCAACCCCTAGGACCCCCCCCCAACAAAAAAAATTATTAAAAAGTGCCAACTTTTTAATGAGGCAGCAATTAGGTTTATTGGAATAAGGGCCTCTTTTCAGGTGGGAAGACATGTTTCAGTTTAAAGGCTGCAGCAACCCAGGAGCAGGCTCCTCTAGGAGGAAGAACGATCTAGGCAGTGATATAAGAAGGGGAAGATAAACAAGAAAGAAATGGGATGGAGAAATTGAGATGGTCACAGAGACTTTTTTTTTTTTGAGGCTGTCCCCTGCTGTGGAAGACTAAAGTGAAGGTTTCCTGTTGGCTGCCCTGGTCTTTGGCAGAGTTCTTTCATAGTCCTCCCTGCATGTTATTTATGCTGGATCAGGAAATGCAAATGATGAATGAAAATAGGATGCAGAAAAAAAAAAAAGATGCAGCCCCATTTACCCAGAACTTTGTGTAACAGCCATTTACAATTAAATCGCAATCAAAGTTGGGCACAGTGGCATGCATCTGTAATCCCAGTAATTAGGGAGACTGAGGCAGGAAGATCATAAATTCAAGGCCAGCATAGGCAATTTAGCTAGACCCTGTCATACAATAAAAAATAAAAAAGGGCTGTGGGGAAAAAAGGGCTGGGAGTGTAGCTCAGTAATAAAGTGCCCTGGATTCAATCCCTAGTAGTGGGGAAAAAAATTAACATTGAGTTAATGTTAATTTCGCCCTCAATCTCTGTCCCGTGACTTCAACATCAATATGATATTGAATGGGAAACCAGCCAGAACACATGGTCCTGATGCTGTTTTCCCAAAGGCAAGGACTAGGCCTTTCCATCTCCTAGGACACGGTGGCTCACTAAATAGAGCGCAGGGAACTGGGGGATGGGTGTGGAATGTGATAGCTACAAGAGATGTTTCCAAGCTCCCATGTAGGGCAGAGTTCTTCAAGGCAAAGCAACCCAGAAACTCCTCTGTCAGCACAGACCTGACTTAGGAAGGAAGTCWAAGTTCTGGCTCTCATGTTCTGTTGAGGAATGTGGACTCCTTTCCTTTCATGGTCCATTTTCAGTACCCTTGATGGTAAATAAAGGCAATTAGTATGGTGCATAAGAGTGGAGTCTTGGTTTCTTTATGTATAAAATGCCACCATTGTTCTTCACTTGGATTGCCACAAGTAATCCTCTAGTTGGTTTCCCTGYTCCTATTCTTGCTGTCTTATTATCTTTTTCCTATATGGTGGCCAGAATGATCTTTGTAAAAACAAGTCAGATCATGTCACTTCTATGATCAGAAGCTTTCACAGGCTTCCAATTACTCAGAGTAAAAATCAAAGTCTTTATAGTGCTTCACAAGGCTCTTATGAAATGTATCTTCTGCTGTGTGATCTCATCACCTACCACTTTGTCTTTAACTCTAGTCCAGAATCACCTGGAAATCTTGTTAAAACAGAATTGAACTTCATCCTCGGTTTCTTGTTCATAGGTCTAGGTGCAGCCTAAGAATTTTTATTTTTAAGAACTCCCAGGTGATGCTGGTGTTGCTGGTCTTGGGAAAACACATTTTGAAAACCACTGATCCAGCCATATCAACTGCACTGGTACTCCCCAAACACACCAGGCACATTCCTGTCAAAGAGACTTTGTGCTTGCTCTTTTTCCTGCTTGGAACAGATTGTTACTTCACATATTAGCATGGCCTGCTCCCTCATGTCATATTCTCAGGAGATCTTCCCTCCTATTAAAAGTCACATCCTACCCTTGGCATTCTTTTTTCTTTTTTTTTTTAGAGAGAGAGAGAGAATTTTAATATTTATTTTTTGGTTATCGGCAGACACAACATCTTTGTTTGTATGTGGTGCTGAGGATCGAACCCGGGCTGCACGCATGCCAGGCGAGCGAGCTACCGCTTGAGCCACATCCCCAGCMCCCCCTTGGCATTCTTGACTTTCCTCTGTTATTTCCTTCACAATACTTAGCACTGTTTGATATAATGTATGTTTTGCTTGTTTGCTCCTCTAGATCATCAGCTCTATGGGGCTGGTCTCTGAACTGTTCACTGCTGCATGTATACYGACTAGAATTGTGCCTGCTACATAGAGAATAATCAATAAATCCTTGTTGGATGAATAAATATAAAATGGAATAATGATAGTACTTACTTCATAGGGTTGTTGAGAGGATTACTGAATTAATGCATGTAGAATGTTTAGAATGGAACCTGGAACAGAATAAAACTCAGGAATTGTTATATATCATTATTAGAGGGGAACCAAAAACAGTTGGTGCAATATTGTGGAGATCCTGGGCCTTCATCAGGGTGTTTTTCCTTCTAGTTGTGTCAGACATGGGATTTGCTCTCTACAGAAGGTTCTTTGTCCCTGAAAATGGGTCTCCGGTGAGTTGCTTCTTTTTTTTTTTTTTTAAATTAAAATTTCTTTATCAAAAGGGTCATTGAATAAGGAATACAACTCTATGATTTAGGGCAGTCAAATATCCATTTGGAAGTTTTAGAAAACTCGTAAGGAAATCAGACTTTTGGATTGTCCTCACTTACCTCACTGATCACTGCACTTGCCATGTTGATAGCCATTCCAAAACAGGAGAGAAAGGATTTCCCTGTCCACAGAGAATAAAAAGCAGATTGAAATACAGTAATGAAAATTTGGCTCCATATGAATTTATAACACAAAGAGAACTGACTTTCAGTTTTGCTGGGATTAATCTTTAAGTCTGGAGTTTCTATTTGAGTATTTGTGTATATACTATTATTTTTTCAACTCTGCATCCCATTTCAATAGGATGTTCTCATAGAGATCCCTCATGGCCACTCAGTTCCTAGTCTCTTGGTTGGCATTATATAGAACCATCCTAAATGTAATGATGATCAAGAAGAATGAGAAACAATGGCCCCTGTTTTATGTACTCAGAWTGGTTAAAAATGACATTTTTTAGCTTTGCATGTTTTAGAACATCTTTTCTCTGTGTACATGGGGTTTTGTGTCTCTTCTGTTTTACTCATAGTTCTCCAGACTTAGACTCTTGTTTGTTTATGATGGTATTTGTGTTTCACTAAGAGAGATACAGCCAAAACATGCAATTAGCATTTTCTTATTTCCACTTTTCTTCTTTTCTCCAAAGGTGTCCTTTGCAGCTCACATCGCAGGTGGATTTGCTGGAATGTCCATAGGTTATACTGTGTTTAGCTGCTTTGATAAAGCACTGCTGAAAGATCCAAGGTTTTGGATAGCAATTGCTGCTTATTTAGCTTGTGTCTTATTTGCTGTATTTTTCAACATTTTCCTGTCCCCAGCAAACTGACCTGCCCCTAATTTAAGCCCAATAATAAAAAGAGCCATATGAGGGAGAAATGGAAAACTTTATGAAGAAACAGAGTTCCAACAAATGCTAGCAGTTTTATAAAGAGGATAAAACAACACCTAACTYATCAGTTGTAAGCAAGGACTGCTTACAAAAGGGCCTTCTGATTAGAGGAAGAACCTTCTGAATGCCAAGAGCAGGGAGAGAAAGAAAAAACACTAGTAGTAAAAACCAGAGATTGGGTCTTCCAGGCACATGGTATGCATGGATATATTCTATAAAAGAGAACTGGCTTTACTTGGAGGACATACTTTGGAGACTGTTTCATAGAATCCATGGATACTGTACTATGTGAAAAATAAAAACTTTTCTTATCTGTGTTATACTCTTGATATACTTTTTTTTTTTTTTTTTTTTGGTACTAGGAACTGAACCCTGGGATTACCCAGACCTTGGGCATACTAGGCAAATGCTCTACCATTGAGTTACATCGCCAGCACTTTTAATTTTGAGACAAGAGTCTCACTAAGTTACCCAGGGTGGCCTTGAACTTGTGATCCTCCTGCCTCAGCCTCCTGAGAAGCTGGCATTACAAGCATGTACCATTGTGCCCAGATAAAGTAAAGGTTTTAACAAGATTAAGATACATGTATTGCTCTGTAACTTGCTTTTCAATATGACAGCGATCTTTCTGTATCAGTTCATAGAGACCTTCGTTCTCTGAGTTGAATGATACAGATAGTCCATAGTTAAACCATTTCTTTATTGGACTTTTAAATTGTGCTAGTTTTGTATGGTTACCAAGAGTGAATGTCCTAGTATATGCAGTATATTTTTAAGTGTTTGCTGAATGAATATTTCAAGTATCCAGTAGAAATGTTAATTGTGATAGATTTAAATTGCTCTTTGAGTATTTGTATCCAATTATATTCTTACCTAACATATACAAGTTTTCCTCTACTTTGAAAAAAGATGATATTTGAAATCTTGAAATTTTTGCATTTTGATAGTTAGAATATAATGCTTTATTTGAATTTATCTCTGACTACTGAGGATGAGTATTTTTWAATTTTACCAATAATTATATATTACACAGCATATATGTTTTATAATATATAAACATTAATATACACATAATGTAAACAAGAATATATGTATATAATTGTTCCCTTGATGAAATGTTTCTGTTTAATCTAAAAAGTAGCTTTTCAGGGGAGKAATATTTATCTGCCATGGCCAATGCACCAGGTCACTAGCTCTGAAGAGACCTGTTTAATGACCTGAAGTACAATGTAATTGTTAGTAGAAAACTAGAGAGAGCAACAGAATTTATCTAACCATAAAATCGAACATAACCCATTGATTATGGGCTGATGAAGAAGTTATTATCTACTAAGAAAGAAAGATTTTTTTGGTACTAGAAATATGGGTTACATAACCAAAAATAGTGATGTTTTATTGGCAAAAAATTACAGTAAAAACACATACAAACATCTCCTGATGTCTTAAATTTGACATCTCTGAATTACAGAGGAACCATTTATTCAGTTTAATTTGGAGCTCATAATGCTCTTTTAGATTGTATTTTACTATTAGGAATTCTTTAAAAATTTTTTATCAGTGCATGATAATTAGACATATTAGTGGGATTTGTTGTTACATGTTCACATATGTATACAATATAATGTGGTTAGTTTCATTCCCTGGAAGCATTCTTTATCTGTGATGTCCAACAAAGTAGCCACTATGTACATGTAGCTCTTTAAGTTTCTATTAAACAAAATTAAAACTTCATTTGCTGTCATACACAAACTAGACTGCAAGWGTTCAATTGCTGCATGTAGCTGGTGACTACCTTATTGGACAAAGCAGAAAGAGAATATTTCCAATGTTGCAGAAGTTAGTTCTATTGGCTAGTGCTRTTGTAGAATGAGCAGAAAGGGAAATGGATTTTTTGCTAGCTGACTCATCCATGGCGCTGAACTGACCAGAATCTGCTGTATACCTCAAAGGGATGCTTTCAGAGAAGCTGAAGACAGCCATGGTATAACTTSTAAGCATGATTTGCTTCTCAGATTTATCAAAGCTTAAAAAGGTTTGTGTTAATCTCTCTCTTAACTAATTAAGAAATAATTGTTTGAAATGTTTTTAACTTTTGCTTTTGAATTCTGTGGAACTGTATGTATGTGTACTAGTTTTCATATCATTTATCATGAAAGTTTTAATTTATAATTAAATTATACCATAGTAAAGGGCTCATGGTAAAACATTAAAAAACAAAAATATAAAAAAATTAAGTCGATTTTAATTCCATTATCCAGAGATAATCTGTTAATATTATGACAGATATCCTTCTAGAGTTTTTTATATGCATTACTCTACATATAAATAAATTTATATTAGTGGACTATACTATTTTGAATTGCACTGAAACAAAATGTTAAATGTCTTTTTATGTTAGTATACATTTATCATTTCTACTAGCTGCCTGGTATCACACWGTGGATGCATCATTATTTATTTAACCAATCTTTCTTGGATGGATAATTATTTTGGATGTTTTTAATTCATACTAATATAAATAACAATAATAACATGCCAATTCACATTTTAAAAGTCAGAGTATATTATTATTAATACAATATAGTCAATATAATATAAAATTTTTCTATCAGGAATATGGCTAAATTTTAGACAACTGCTGCTTTTGTAAGTTTTATTAACTGTACAAATCTTTAAAAAACTAGAGACTCTAGAACCAAAAAGCTAAAACTATCACTATTCAACATTCCTAAACTTAAATGACTTTTTTAAAAAGATGAGGTTGAATTACCTTTTTTTCAAATTTTTTTTTTTAGTTGTAGATGGACACAATACCTTTATTTATTTTTATATGGTGCTGAGGATCAAACCCAGTGCCTCACACGTGCAAGGCAYGGGCTCTACCAGTGAGCCACAACCCCAGCCCCTTAAATGAACTTTTAAGAGAAAACATGATCTCTTGATGTTTCTTTCATGCAAATTTTAAGTATGTTTAAGAGGAAAAATAGTAGTTAGGAAAGATAGTTAAGAACTGACTCTAGAGCCACACTGATGGGTTTGAATGCCAGCTTCAGCTGTGTGACCTTGGCAAATTAAGGCATGCCTCAGTTTCTGCATCATATAGATAAAATGGGATAAATAACAAATGGGTGAAATAGCCACCTCATAAGATCTTTGTGATGAATCTATCAGGATTTTTGTGATGAATGTATCTTGTAACTATAGTATCCTAGTATTTTCTTTGATTGTGTATTATTTCCCTTTATATAAAGGACACAGGACATACATTTATATGTTTTAAATGAAAGGGAATTAAAACATTCATTATTTCTATCTTTCCTTTGTGGGAAAGCCTAAGATAGCCTTCATAAATATTATATGGAATTTATTGGCCAATAATCCAAGTAGCTAAATTCTAATTTGTCCCACTGTTYTCTCCAAGAAAGAAGCTACATCTTAAAGAGATAAGACATTGTTACAATATTTTCTATAATACCATCACCACACCAGTGATGAATTTATTTCACCCCATTCCTAATAATATTTTAGTAACCATACAACAGCTGAGAAATTTTAGAGTATATTTTAATATGATAAAAATTTATAAATTTTTTATAGCAAAGTGTAAGAATTTTATAAATATTCATAAATATTACTGGAATTGATTTCTAAAAATGCTCAACAACTGCCAGAAAGAARCCAGAATTTAGATATTCAAATGTGTATTAAAAAAACTAATCTAAATTCAGGCTAGGGATGTGACTCAGTGGTAGAGTGTCTGCCTAGCATGTGTGAGRACCTGTATTCAATCCCCAGCACCACAAACTAAATAAAACAAGACAAAACACAAAACAAAATAAAAAAAAAACACATTAATCTAAATTCCTATAGCAAGAGCCAGATTATTTCCTCTGGTTTCATTAAATGCTGTACTTTATTGAATTATCAGATGAAGCACATTCATTTTTCCTGAGTATAAATGAAAATTTACAATCACTTTGCTTATAAACTCTTACGTAAAATAATCTTAATAGGTTTGTTTGTAAGATCAAGTCAGTATTTTTAGGACTGTCTCTTAAGAGTTCCCAGTTAAAGAAAATTAAACAAGATACTTAAGCTAAGTAAGATGACTTATGATGGGAATCTCAGAATTCTATTTTTATTTTTTATTTATTTTGTGGTGGGGCTGGGGATTGAACCCAGGGCCTCATGCATGTTAGGCACACATTCTACCACTAAGCTACATCACTAGCCCAACAATTCTGTTCATAATATATACATGCTTCCTCTAGGTATCACCTTTTTTTTTTTTTTTTGCACTGTAATGTCTAAACAAAATTCTTTTAAACTCCTCAAATCTAAAATACATTCTTTGTGGCAGATTGTTACTGCTATCTAGGGAAAAAAAAGTAAAAAAATCAGCACATGGAAAGAGTGATGATTTGTTCATATTTTGGCCATAGGTTTGCTTTAAGAAACAATGCTCCCTTCAGAATGGAAGAATTTATCTGCCTCCTGTTTGATGGGGTTCAGAGCTAAGATGGCTGAATAAATAAGCATGGGGGACTGGAATCTCCTTGGAGGCATTCTGGAGGAAGTTCACATTCACTCCACCATGATTGGAAAGATCTGGCTCACCATATTATTCATATTTCGAATGCTTGTTCTGGGAGTAGCAGCTGAAGATGTCTGGAATGATGAGCAGTCTGGCTTCATCTGCAATACACAACAACCAGGTTGCAGAAATGTATGCTATGACCAGGCCTTTCCTATTTCCCTCATTAGATATTGGGTTCTGCAGGTGATATTTGTGTCTTCACCATCTCTGGTCTACATGGGCCATGCTTTATACCGACTGAGAGTTCTAGAGAAAGAGAGGGAGAGGATGAAAGCTCAATTAAGGAGAGAACTGGATGGGATAGAGTTTGAAATGCCTGCRAATCAGAGGAGATTAGAGCAAGAGCTCTGTCAGCTGGAACAAAGGAAACTAAATAAAGCTCCGCTCAGAGGAACCTTGCTTTGCACTTACGTGATACACATTTTCACTCGTTCTGTAGTTGAAGTTGGGTTCATGATTGGACAGTACCTTTTATATGGATTTCACTTAGAGCCTCTATTTAAATGCCATGGTCACCCATGTCCAAATATAATCGATTGTTTTGTTTCAAGACCAACAGAAAAGACAATATTTCTATTTTTTATGCAATCCATAGCCACTGTTTCACTTTTCTTAAACATTTTAGAAATTTTCCACCTAGGTTTWAAAAAGATTAAAAGAGGGCTCTTGGGACAATATAAATCGAGGAATGAACACAATGAATTCTGTGCAAAGTCAAAACAAAGTCTAGCCAAATATCAGAGCACATCTGCAAATTCACTGAAACGGCTGCCTTCAGCACCTGATTATAATCTGATAGTGGAAAAACAAGCACACAGAGTAGCATACCCAAGTTTAAATTCATCTTCTGTATTTCAGGCAGATCCTGACAATCATGACATAAATGATGAGAAAAGCATTTTGGATGAACAGGAAACTAWTGAGATGTACACACTTAGTACTACTTGCAGTCACCCTCAACACATCAGCTCAAAAAATAACAAAGACACTCATAAAATATTTAGAAAAGAAGTTAATGGTAACCACTTGCGGGAAAAAAGAGAAGTTGATGGCAAAGAGAGCAAAAAGAACCATTATTCTAGAGATCACTGTTCTATTCCAGGTATTGCTATAGATACAGACAACCACATGGGGCAGTCACCCCACACAACTTTCTCCCTGGCAGCAGACTCCTGCACCTGGAAACCTCGGTGGCTCAGTACTACGTGGGGTCCCTCTAAAGAAGATGCAAACCAAGGGTCATCTCCTATAGGTAACCTCCGGGGCCAGTTCAGAGAGAAACCTTCCTCCTTCAGAAACCTTCCTCCTTCAGAGAGAGACTTTCAACCACTTGACATTCCAAATACTTCAGATTCTTTGGGAGAGTGGTCCTTTGAGTCAAAGTTTATTAGAACCTGCAACAATTCTACGGATTGTCCTCCAAATCATTTAATGTCCTTGACGAACAACTTCATTGGTAGGAGGGTTCCAACAGACCTTCAGATCTGAACCGTTGTTAGATATTCTGCATATTATGTCATCAGAGTAGTAACAGTGGTGGTGGAACATGGAGAAAATAGATAAGGATACTTCTAAAGACCAGCTGTTGTGATAGACAACTGCAAACTCATTTCAGAAATGGAAAACAGCTCTAATTCTGAACTGTGAAGGGGGAAGTTCTAAATTCAAAGACGTAGGGTAGCCAAATTAGGATGTATTTTTTAACCTCCCTTAAAAATATGCGAAACTGACTTGGGGAAAATCACATGTTCTGATTCGATCCTAAATGGTTTGGGATCAGATTTTTCTCACAGCCTTAGAAAATTGTTCTTGATCTATGTAATTACTCCTTTTAGTTACTAATCCTTTATTTTGGATACTGGTTAATGTTGTTTGCCCTGGGACTTAATAACTTAGYTTCTTTATAAACTGCAAACTGATGTGTGTTGAATATAACCATAATATTACTATCTAGTAAATAAAATATTGAAAAAGATGCAAGACTTTCTCTCACCAGTTCATAGCATGGTGATTCACATTCTGGATTGGAGTCTTTCCTGGCTCTCCTATTCACTGGTCATTTAACCTAGTCATGTCATTTTACTACCATACTTACCTACAAAGATGTTGTGTGAATTAAAATGAAAAAAAAAAAAAAAGGAAAGAAAGAAAAAAGAACTATGTTTAAAACGCACTGTACCTCGCGCACAGTAAGCGCTCAAAAGGTTTTATTAGCACTTTAGTGCTGATCCTCCAGAGGGCTACTTCAAGTCAGCCACAAAACAAGGAGACTCCAAATGTAAAACTGGAGCCAAAACATACGATTTAAAATATTATTCTCAAGCCATTGGAAATCCAAGAGTCGTCCTGCTTTGGTCGTGCRTACTTTTTCCAGATGAGAGCCAAAAAATCCAACACACACAGGTCAACACAGCTTCGAAGACCTGGGTTCGAAGGGCGAGCCCACTACAAGTAGGGCGATCTATCCTCCTACGAGGGTGTTAAGCTCCAGGACCCCGAAGGCCCCGCCCCCAGGCACCACGCCCACTCCGGGCTCCACCTGGACGCTTACTCGGAGTTGCCTAACCCTCGCCTCTTCGCTAAGCAACCGAACCGCCCTGGGGACCGGAAGAGGAAGGAAAGGCGCTACTCCGACAGCCAGAGGGGCGGGCGTACGCAGTCTCCCTCAGTTCTGCCGGCGGCTGGGGATGCTGAGCGTCCTGTCGCCATGAAAACAGGCCACACCCCGGCGATGCCGGCCCGTGGTTCGCAAGCGCGCAAGCGCGCGCGCCCCTCCGCGCATGAGCAGTGCTCCTCCAAGCCCGCCAGCCACGGTCTCCGGCGCCAGCTACGCCGCGGCCGCTGTCACTATGGCCCATTACAAAGTGAGGGGGGCGCGGCGTGGCTGGGGGAGTGCGGGCGGTAGCCAGCCGCTGGTCGGCTCCGGGTGGGAGATGGGGGYGCGTGCAGGTTTCGGGGGCCTGAGGCAGCGAGGCGGAGGTGGGGTTGCCAGACTCTAAGCGCCTTCTTCCTGCTCTGGCCCCCGGGCTCCGGTCACTGACCCGCGGTGTCTCCTCAGGCCGCCGACTCGAAGCGCGAGCAGTTCCGGAGGTACTTGGAGAAGTCGGGGGTGCTGGACACGCTGACCAAAGGTAAGCATGGCTGGGAGAGGGTTTCACGTGCCCTCGGCGCGGTGCCCCTGAAGGGCCACGGCGTGGGGAAGGAGGAGGAACAGGTGGGGCCCGTCTAGGGTCCAGAGAAGAGTGCTTGGGAWTGAGCGGGGACCGGCTCGCTCTGGCTGCCAGACGCTGCCTGGTGGGGTAGCCTAGTTCACGCTATCGCTCTCAGCGCGGGGAGTGAAACTCTTGCAGCTGTTGCAAAGTCTCTCCAACTTCCGTTGCTTTGCCTCGAGCAGCCGCAGTGAATATGTTTATTGAAGACCTTGAGGTCCCAATTCCTTCCGCTTTACCGAGTTTGCAGAGTCCTCAGAATCTTAAGAAATATTTTCCCTCGAACAAAGAGCAACTTGAGAAATTAGCAGATTTGAAAGTGGGCTATAAAGTAGTTGAGTGAGGCTTATCCCGAAGTAAGTGATTCATAGACAATTTGGCTGTGGCTTTTCAATTCCCTATTTCTTAGTCTATAGCAATTCCTATTTTGTGTATAAAGTAGAATTGCAGTTTAAAGAATTTGAGGACGCTTCATAAATAGTTATATTGTTTACGCTTTTAAAAATGGAAGTTTACTGTTACACTGTTACATCTCTTTCTTCCTGGATTCAAGATCTAAGTAGACAAGGAAGGTGCTTGAAACAGGAGGATTCCAAGAGATAGTGAAGTACTGCTTACTAATTAGCTCAGCTGTAATTTGAATGCCTGTTATATACTGCTTTATGCATTGACTGGGATTTTCAAAGATGATGGAATCCTGGCAGGGGTGCAGACATGGATCCATAAGAGAATGAGAAATGACTGGATAATAATATCTGCATTTTGTGCAGAAATAAAGGTTAGGGGAAAATTCTGGGAGAAATCCTGGGTCTAGCAGAAAGCAGGCCTTTTCATTCCCATGCATGGATATGTTGACAATTTTGAATTGCTTCTTGTCTAGGTTCAATTAGTAGTTTCCCTCCATCTTTGCAAATAATGAGATACTCTGAAAATGCTGTGCTATGTTGTCTCCCCAAGTATCATAGATGCTTGGAATTTCATTCCTTAGGAAACCCCATACAGTCCCTTTTTTCCTTTAAGCAATTAATAGGTGTCTATTCTAGACAGTGGGGCTAGCAATGGAAAAGAAAGAGTTCTTGCCCTCATGAGCTTGCATCCTGGTTGGGGAGACAGATAATCAAGAAATACAGAGTGTCAGCTAGTGGTAGTGTTATAATTTAAAACTGATACCAATGTTAGAAGATAAAAAGGTGATGGGTAGGATTTGTRTGCCATTTTACACAAGGTAATGGGGGAAAGGCCTTTCTTATGAAGTAACTTTTGAGCAGAGATCTGAATGAGCTAAGTATATTGTCAAGAGTTCCAGGAAATACAGGTTGAGCATCTCTAATCAGAATATCTAAAATTCAAAATGCTACAAGATTTGAAAAATTTTGAGCACTGACTTGATGCTGCAAGTGGAAAATTCCAGTCCTGACTGCATGTGACATGTATATACATACCTTCAGGCTATGTATATGAGGGGTGCATGAAGTATAAATGAATTTTGTGTTTACTCTTGGGTTCTACTCCCCAAATATCTTATTATGTATATGAAAATATTCCAAAATCTGAAAATATCATTTGGATAAAGAATACTGAAACTGTACATGGTGGCTAAAGTGAGTGAAAGACAGATGGTAAGGCAGAAAAGTGACAGTTGTAGAAGATGACTGACCAGAGAGAAGATGCACAGCCTTGTGACTATACAAGGATTTTCCTTCTTGAGAGAGATCCCTGGAGGCTTCTTATCCCTGTTCACACCCACAGAAATGTAACCCTTCAATCTCCTTAGATAGCCAGTCTTCTAAATAAACATCAGAAAACATAGTATCTATTGACAAGATTTATGTAAAAATTTATTTTCATCTTTAAACATATTTCACACACATACATTTATCTATTTATTTTTGAGGTAATACTGGGGATTGAACTCAGTGCCTTGTGCATGTGAGGCAAGCATTTTACTGACTGGGCTATATACCCAGCCCCTCAAATTTATATTTTTTATCCCACTATTTTCAAGAGGATTTGAAATTGCTTATGACATTAAAACACTATAAGAAAATCATTTAGAAGCGGTGGCATTTTAGATGTTTTGAGCACTATATTAACCTCTAAAAAATCCTGGTTAAGGGGCTGGGGTTGCACTTGCCTAGCATGCGTGAGGCATGGGTTTGATTCTCAGCACCACATAAAAATAAATGAGTAATAAATGAGTAAAATAAATGAGTAAAATAAAGGTCCATCAACATCTAAAAAATACATATTTAAAAAAAAATCCTGGTTAAGGCAAAAGGGGAACATGATTTGAAATAGACTTGTCCAAATAGAAGGATGTGTATTAATTYATAGAAAAACTCAGAAAACTTAGCATTTACATTATGTTTTGCATTTATCAACCTTGTAAATATCACTGACGGAAATTTAGAAACTGAAAGAAATGGAGTGGGAGAAGAAATGGGGAAGGATAGGAGCACTGATATTCATGTCTTGTAAAGTTAGGAATTCAACAGAGATCAGTAGAAATGAATGGAAGAAGAATTAGGTTTGAGCATTTAATTTAAAGAAAAAGGTAATAAACAGGAATTAGAGTACTGTAGAAGACAATGAAAGGAGAGAGGAGAAGCTGAGAGGACAGTAGTGTAAATATACCAACTTCCCAAAAAATACAGTGTATTTCAGCGTTGTTAAAAGTAGTTGCACGTTTGAATTTTTCATACTGTTATTTTAAATTAATAAAGCTGTAAAAATTAAAACACATACAAATTAGTTTAGAACAGGACTTATTAACTTAGAGTTTATATATGTATATTTTTCTTTTTGTATGGAGTTATGTTTTTTGCTTTCATCGAATTTTTCAAAGGGTTCCATGCACAAAACAGTTAACCACTGGTTTAGAGAGATTTTTTTTTTATCTGAATACAAAATTCCAGGAGGTACTCATTCAATACAAGATGATCAACATAGTCCTCACATGAGTTATCTCCTTTCATTGTCTTCTACAGTACTCTAATTCCTGTTTATTACCTTTTTCTTTAAATTAAATGCTCAAACCTAAAAATTCGATGAAAGCAAAAATCTACTGTAGTATATATTTTAATGCTGATTTGAGCTTCATTCTTGAACATTTTGAAATGAAAGCTTCTTCAAGTAATTACCACAGCCTTACTCTTTCCTAAAGTTTTCTTACATTTATTTTTTTTTCCCATAATTCTATCTAGTGCAGGTCACTGTTTAATTGGATTACTACATCTACCTCTTAACTGTTGTTCTTCCTGCCATTATCCTTGACCCACT